GGTAACCACGGAAAATTTTGTTTCTAAACTCAATTCGTTTTTAGGGGGGGTTTTGCGTTTCGTTTTTTAAAAGAATTCCGAAATTTTCCTTTAAAAAAGTTCGAAATATACGAAATTTCATAAAATTACAAATCGATTCGTTAATGGCGGACACGATTGCGCAATATGCTAAAAAACTCTGCAAATGGGACAGGGGGAACTTCTGAAGCTTCCCTCCCCCTCTGTTGTTGACTGTTGGTGTGATAATTTATTTTTTATCACTGATAAAACAAACAACAACCCTAAAACTTGCACCAGACATACGGAAATAATTACGAAACAATTACGAAACGATTTCGAAACAATCACGAAACGATTTCGAAACAATTACGAAACAATTATGAAATAAATTGAAAAAATTCGTTTCGATTTTTAATTACTCCTGCATGGCTCAATATCGGATCGTAAGCTAATTTAAATACGAATTAATAACGAATTACGAAATTAACGAATGAAACCGCCCAACCCCACTACCCAGCAATTCTCTTTTAGAAAAAAATACAGTTTGGGCTTGACCTGTTTCCCTCAATATTGTAAAGCTAGCTTGCTTCATGGGATTTGGGAAGACAAGAGTTGGTTTAGTGAGACGGAATTGTCTAGTGACATCTTGCAATGCTGGGACTGAACTATTTTACAAACCTTATCACATGGGCAGGGGTAAAGTAGGGGACAATGGGGCCAATCATGGGGCACCAGATAGAATCATCAGGCTCTGTTACCTCCCATCAGTTACTCCTTCCACAACAATTCTCCATCTGTCTCCACTTCCTCTTCAGCTCCTCTGCCTTTTGGGTATGAGGAGTCAACTGTACAGAGAAGTGGAGCCTCTGGGACACTGCCAGCACAGGGCCCCATAGAGCCCATATAATGGGCTTAGGGGGATCTTATGCCAGCAGCGTGCTGGCAGTGCGGAGAAGCGGAGATCAGCCTCAATGTGATGAGGTTCGAAGTTAGAAACTGCAGTTAGTCTGGAGCCATGGTTCCGACCTCTTGGTCCTCCAGGTGTTTTGGACTTCAGCTTCCAGAATTCCTGACAGTTGGCTAATCACAATGCCTATAACCTGCACAAAAAGACTTAAAGTAAAAACTACACATATTTCTGAATCAGGAACTATGGACTCTACTGACAGAATAAAAGCATGTAAATAAAGGCTTAAGATTTTTTTTTAATGAACAGATGGTCACACTTTTGAGCTAATAAAAGTCCACCAGCATCCGAAGACATGTTTCTTTCTCTTATAATTAGAAAAAAAGTTAAGAAAAATAATTTATCTTTTTAAAACATCCAAGCTTTTCTGTCTTCCAGTAGTGTTGGTTTATTCGTTATAATTATATTTTGCATCACCTACAATGAACTCAAGGCAACATATGTTGTTCATTTTCTTCCCAGGTGTATCCTCACAAATGGTTCTCTAACACAGGTGACTGGAAGGGAATGACTGGCCTGAGATCAGCCACTGAGGGCACCTTTACATGAGCCACTTACCCTGGGGCTGATCTGGTGTGGAATACTCTGGATCAGCTGTGGAAGGGTCTGCACAGCTGGCTCCTGAGCTTTTGTAGCCTCGGGAGAGTATTCATACAGCCAGGCACTGTGCAGTCCTGGCAGTGGGAAGGAATCCACACCACCTAGCAGCTTACTAAAGCACCAGTGTGACCTGGAGAGGAGAGGGAGGAGGGATTGCAGCAATATTAGAACTAGGGACAAGCAAAGACCATGAGAAATTTCATTCCCCATGTTCACTGTTGAAGCAGTGACAATAAGTATTCTCAGACCACCTGAATGCAGGAAAAGCAGAATGGCTGTATAAACAGCAGTGGCCAGTTCCAAATCAGAATGGGACAACAGTTTATAAAAACTGTTGAGATTAACTTCACAATTCAGCAGCAGATCAGTTGCACAACTTCAGTGCTTTCCAGTAGCTTCTTCCTGCACAGAATTTTCAGTCAACTGGTCCCACAGCCTGCAGCCACGCTGGAACCTTTTACAGACACTTGAGCACATGCCCAGCCATTGTCAGTTTTACCATTGTCTTTCGCCCAGTCTGGATGATATTACAAACTTACCACAGCATACAGTTATATCTTGTCTTAGCAGACAGGTTCTTTTAATTACATATAGCCTTCGACAAACAACATCACAGCACAAGGAGAAATATACACTGTACATGACTTCCTTATATACAATTCTATACAATTACACATAGCTATCTCCGATTGGTTCCCAACTCATTAACTTAACTCAGACCCAGGATTACATCATTCACAATCACCTGGACTAGACCAGAACACATTCCCCAAATGACTCAGCATTTCCAATAGAAGCCCATTAGCAGTGCATGACTCAGCTATATTACATTACAATACATTGTAAAACCTGACATGTGGGGAAACTTGGAATTTCAGAGACTTTAGGTAATGTGGAGCAAGGCCAGGCATATAGGATGAATCTGTTCCATGTTTCATGGAGACAGCACAAGTCCATGCACTTCCACCTCACTTCATGTGGCCTGTGTAGACAGGTCCCCACTTTCAATGCAGACTCGATCATGCATGAAGTGGCAAACTTTAGGGTGGTCTTTGCCACTCCATGGACCCATTGAAATGTGCTGAGCTACCTCTGCCATAAAAAATAGTTTCCCTTTACAATTATTATGTGGCCTGCCTGAGCATCCACCCCCCCCCCCCACCCACCCAACACACACACACACATTTTCATCTTTATGCTGCCTCTGGGCATTCTAGCTCATGTCAAAAGCAAAGCAGAATAATTGAACCATTGGTCCAGGTACACAACAAACACTGCACTACCTCATATTACAAATGAGACTTCAAGGGTGGGGAATGGATCTACTGATTTCCCTTTAATCTCCAACTGGAAGCCCACATGTAGATTGCAATCAATCATGTGGGCTGGCTTGCAATTCACTCTTAATTAATATTAATCAAGTCTATCAATTTTGTTCTTGCAATGAAGCATGCCCGTCACTTGAAAACTTGAAATACTAATGCTTGTGCCAAGATCCATCTGCATCTGATCGGGGCTGGTCATTCAAAATACGCATATTTCACTCTACCCTTTTTTCTGAATGAGCAACTGGAAATGGCAGGGTGTGTTAAGGGGTCTTTACATTAGCATGCAGAAAGCTATGGTAGCTTGCATGGCAGTAGAAATCTTAGTCTGAAATTGAAAAGAGCTCTCCAAGGTGCTTAAAGCTTAATGGGTTCAGCGCCTTGGACATCCCCTTTGAGACAGCTTCATTGTTGGAATGGAAACAATGTTTTAAAACAGTTTTAAAATAGTTGAAAAAGGTGTTTCTTGAGTGTTTGGACATGTTGACAAGGAGAATCCTTAATTTCAAAATCTTCACAGTTTGTTACATATTCAGCACATAATTCAAAGCTGTTTTGTACGGAAAACAATGTTTCCCCTGCAACACCCCCTATGCCAGAAGTGACTTTCAGTTTTTCAAGTCGCTCCTGCCATTAAAACAAAAAATAAAAAACCCTACACCCATATACAAAACTTGTGAGGAATAAATACTGAACTTCAAAAAGTCAAACAGCCTTCAAATGGAAAGAAAATAGTTAAAATTATTTGTAACTTTCTTTGAAAATGAAATTGGTGAATTGGTCCCAACCCTGTTGATATGGGTGCTACTACCACTGCAGCATCTCATGGATGTCATAGTTCACCAGAGTCTTCAACTTGATTCTCCCATGTTTCATTCCAACACACTAAACCCTGAATGCCTCATGAGACTTAATACAGTACAACCCCACATACCCACTAACTACCATGAAAATAGGAAACCGTGGACAATAGTGAACCCTATTGAAATGAACGACATCCACCAGAAGTTACCATAAAACCACCCTGTAGGACCTAGAAATTTGTTAGAACCTCCAATTTCCAGCAGAAGCATACCATAGAATCACTTGGAGCACCTAGAAAATTCTTAGAGAGGACACATTGTGTCATATGGGAGTAGGTGAAACCACAATAATAATAATAATACTAATAATAATAATAATAATAATAATAATAATAATAATAATAATAATATTTGTAAGCCACCCTATCTCCCCAAAGAGACTCAGAGTGGTTTCCAGAACAAAACATTCAATGCCATAATGAACAAAGATGTGTGTGTGTGTGTGTGCGTATGTGTGTGTGTATATATATATATATATATACACACACACACACACACACACACACACACACACACATACATATACATACACACACACATACAGCATGGATACCAGTCCTGTGGATACAGGGGTACTCATTCCTCCCCAGCTGCCATTATATAGGACCTATGATAAGAGCAACAGGAATTTGCAATCTTTGCTGGTTGCCAGCTGTCTGTACATGCAAAATTAGAGTAAGGCAAAATTAGTACAGTATATTCTGGCGTATAAGACTACTTTTTAACCCAATAAAATCTTCTCAAAAGTCAGGGGTCGTCTTATACGCGGGTGTAGTCTTATGCGTGGGAGTCGTCTTAATTCTATATTTTAACTGGAAAAGTTGGGGGTCGTCTTATACGTCCAGTCGTCTTATATGCCGGAATATACGGTATTTGCATGGTCATATTATCATGTCCTAATACATGGTCCAGCCCATACAGCCATCCCCTGAGATCTTTTAGCCAATGCACACAAATCTCTCAAGGGTGATGTACACATAATGCCCTAAGTTATATAGTAACTCATCATAACAATTACACTTAAACTAATGACTGAGATCCCCACTAGAGTTGATCCATAGAACATTGCTGAATGGTGAGTCAACACATAGGTAGATTCAATGCTAATAATAGTATTAAGGCTATTTTTTTCTCATCTTAGTGTTCTAGAAGGTTATAAATATTTGAAAAGAAAAGGAAGGCATTGCTACTGGATCTGTGCCAGTTTTCACCACAGATAACAAACACTGACCTCATCATATTTACCTCTGAATGCATCGTATGAAGCTTCCACTCCAACTGGAGAACAGATGGGCATGCCGTCCATCACACGATGTAGAGGAATTTCTTGTGGAAGCCCCTTCTCCAACTGGAATAGAAGTATCATTTGATGCTTCCTTCTCAACAAGAGAGGCCTCCCGTGTTGTGCTGGCTCCAATGGCACACACTCGTGAGTCGTCCAGGCGGTGCTTTGCCTGTGAGATGGGGAAAATGTTGCTGTGAGGGAGCGGCATGTAGAGCAAATTATTCACCCCAGCTACCTCATTTCAGTGGTGAAGTGGGATGCTTTGCCTACCTAATATGATGAGGCCCTGATTTTCTTTGACTATATATAAATCAAAATCCACATGGTGTAGCTACTTAGAAATAAGTCACACCACCTTAAAGTGCTCATTCTCAAGTATACAATTTCCCCTTTTGCTCTATGAAAACATTTTTACACTGCTCTATGTTATAGGATCACAAGACATACAGATGAAATTGTTTTAAAACAATTTCTTGCAACTTGGGTTTAAACACCCTAAAAATAATCTAAACATTTTAAAAATATAAAATATATATTAATGTAATATTTAAAACCATTTTAACATGTACATATCAAGGTGCAGCTGTTAGACTCCCAAAAGTTTTGATAAGCGAGCATGTTTTCACCTACGACCAGAAAGAAACCAGAGTTGACACCAATAAGACATCCAGGGAGAAGACATTTTACAAACAGAAAAGCAAAGGAGACTCTCTCCCATATCCTCACACAGTGTATTGCAGTGTTTCTCAACCTTCTGAATGCCGCGACCCCTTAATCCAGTTCCTCATGTTGTGGTGATCCCCAACTATAACATTAGTTTTGTTGCAACTTCACAACTGTAATCTTGCTCCTGTTATGAATTGTAATGTAAATACCTGATATGCAGGAAAAGGTTACAGAGAATGAATATGTCAAACTACTCTGGCACAAATACACAATACGCCCAAATTTGAATACTGGTGGAGTTGGATGGGGGATTGATTTTGTCATTGGGAAGTTGTAGTTGCTGGGATTTATAGTTCACCTACAATCAAAGAACATTCTGAACTCCACCAGTGATGGAATTGAACCAATCTTGGCATACAGAACTCCCATGACCAACAGAAAATACTGGAAGGATTTGGTGGGCATTGACCTTGAGTTTTGGAGTTGTAGTTCACCTACATCCAGAGAGCACTGTGGACTCAAACAATGATGGATCTGGACCAAACTCTACACAAATACTCAATATGCCCAAATGTGAACACTGGTGGAGTTTGGGGAAAATAGATTTTGACATTTTGAAGTTGTAGTTGCTGGAATTTATAATTCACCTACAATCAAAGAACATTCTAAACTCCACCAATGATGGAATTGAACCAATCTTGGCACACAGAACTCCCATGACCAACAGAAAATACTGGAAGGATTTGGTGGGCATTGACCTTGGTTTTGGAGTTGTAGTTCACCTACATCCAGAGAGCACTGTGGACTCAAACAATGATGGATCTGGACCAAACTCTACACGAATACTCAATATGCCCAAATGTGAACACTGGTGGAGTTTGGGGGGAAATAGATCTTGACATTTGGGAGTTGTAGTTACTGAGATTTATAGTTCACCTACAACCAAAGAGCATTCTGAATCCCACGATAGAATTGGGCCAAACTTCCCAAACAGAACCCTCATGACCAACAGAAAATACATTGTTTCTTGATGGTCTTCGGCAACCCCTCTGACACCTGCTCGCGACCCCCTCTAGGGGTCCCGACCCCCAGGTTGAGAAACACTGGTGTATTGCTTTTCTAGTGTGACTTGGGGTGTATCTAAACTGTAGATTTAATGCAGTTTGACACTATTTTTATTTTATCATGTCAGAAGCATATATATATGTTGTTGTTGTTCATTCGTTCAGTCGTCTCCGACTCTTCGTGACCTCATGGACCAGCCCACG